TTGTGTCTTTTTTATATGTATTTTTTTATATTGATGTTTGGCTAAATGAGCTTTTTTTTATATTAAATTTTTAAAAAAATATTTGAAAATATTTATTGATTTATATATGATCCTCTCACGTGTTGTTTTATTTTTTCTTTATATATTGTTTTTCTATGTTGCATGTTCAATCTACAAACCATTGTTATTAAATGCAAGTATATAATGCAATGCATTTTTTTTCTTCTTGTCCAAAAATTGTTCAAAAAGAGTAAATAAAAAAGGGTAAACAAAAAAAAAAAGCATAAAAAAATTTCTTCAATTAAAAATCCAAATCTGACGAACTTATTCATTAGTATCACAGTCAAAAATATTATATTTTTTGAGTTTGTGTAATATTTATCAACGTCAAAATTAAAAATATTCTTAGATAAATATTCATTAACACTAGAGTCCTGAATATTATAGGAAGAACAAAAAAAGAAGAGAAAAATAATGAGTTAACCCAATTGATTATGTTTTTTTACTTTCTTCTTTAATTTTACCTTTTATTATTGTGTTTTTGTTTTTTTACTTTCTTCTTTAATTTTACCATTTATTATTGTGTTTAATTAGAAATTAGATTTAATAATTTATTTTAGTTTGCTTTTTATTGTGTTATTTTGGCTTCATTAATCGAGAATAATGCTTAACAAATTAATTTAAGTTGACTTGGCTTATTTTTTATTTTATTTTTTTATATAAATTTCATCAATCAACACTGAGTTTGATATTGACGATTGAAAATTGAGTTTTATAATTTGTTTTGATTTGCTTTCTATAAAGTTGTCTTAATCTCATGACCAAAATCACATATTTAATGGGTTAACACGGATTAAATCAAGTTATTTTTATTTTATTTTTTTATAATGTTATTTTGGTCCGATGACCAACATCATGAATTTAACATATTGACTCTCTTTTTTTAATTGATTTCTTTTTTAATCGACTCACTTTCCATGATGTCATATTAGTTTTATAACTTGAATCACAAATTTGATTGATTAACTCGAGTTGTTTTTTAAGTCATTTTTAATTTATTTTTGTTTCAATCTCATCATTAAATATTGGTTACTTTATAACTTATTTTAATTTGCTTTCTCTTAAATTATTATAGTCTCATAACCTCGTCATGGAATTAACATGTTAATCCGGGTTGACTCAAATCAATCCAATATATCATTATTTTAATATTAAAAAATAAGATATTATCTTGATTTTTTAATCAAACTATTTTTTTATGAATTATATGGATTATTTTCTTGACCTACAAATCAACCAGGTTATATCAAATTAATTCTCTTGTATTCTAGTATAATTAAAAATAATTACATTCCAGAAAAATTTAACCCAACCTATAAACACAATGCAGTTCAATGACCTAGTATTATATAAAATATAATTACATGAGATTTTATAGCTTTGAACATTGTCACATAAGCACGTATTTATGAATTTTAAGTAATTAATTGAGAAGGATTGATTCAAGTCTTATATCTGTCCAGTCCATTCCCATGAAAAATATAAATTTTCACCGGCAACTCATTTTTTTATCCAAGTAATCACACACACACACAAGCTCTACAGTTTTTGACACCCTAAAACAAATAAATTACAACATGAATTATTTAGGAATTATTTTTATTTTTAATTTATCATGTATAAAAAACAAGCCATGTTCAATTTGTAAACAACACCACCAGCGTTTTTTTAAAAATAATTTCAGTTCCAATTCTTCTAATCCTCTTGATAATAAATTCTCTATTTTGTTTCTTTGAAGGCAAAAATAAAATAGAAGATATTGATCACACCTTAAAACCTGGACGATAATATAATTAAATTAATTAAAAAAAACCTAAGATTCCCAGCGAAATTACTATCGCCCCTCTTAGTAAACACTGGATTAGGTTTTCTTTGTCCTTCAATATCTAATATTTTGGCCTTCGATTTTTTCTTCTTCTAATTTTGTCACTTGACATTGTAATGATGAGAGTTTGGGCTTGACTGGTTGTTTTGTATACCTATATGTCAAGAAAATATCTTGTTGCTTGATTAATGCGTAATTTAATAAAATAAAATTTATTTTATTGATTTAGAGCAATTTAAGTTTCAAGGACTAAATTTTAAGCCAAATAGAACCCACTTTAATTTTCTTTAGTTTGAGACCAAGTTGTATGGGCAAAGAAAAAAATCAGGTTTGTGTTTTTTTTAAATACTCAACTTCTTTTTTTAATTTAATCCTTACAATTATTTTTTATGGGAATTAACTTAATGGTATATATAGGTTGTCTAGATATAGGAATCTTGCAATATCAAGAAAAAGTATGGTGCTCGGTTGATACTTAATTTGTCAAAATAAATTTAAATTATGTAGATTTAGAGCAATTAGGGCTTGAAGGGCCAACTTTCAAATTTAAAAAATACAAGGGACTAATGTTAACAGGCAAGAAAAGATTGACTAGCATGTGCAATGCACGCACCAACAAGTGAAAAAAGTCGCGACACTCTAGCGACATGTACAATTTTTTCTAGTGGCGAAACATCACCTTTTGTTGTTGCATTGGAAGCTCCGTGGCGTGAGTGGGCAACAAGCTTGATGTGAAGATCGATGGTTTTGTCGCCAAGAGTGCTTTCTTTCTTATTTCCTTCTTTTCTCTTATCGAATTTTTCTCGGTCCTTATACAGAGTGCATTTTTTTAATATAATTTTAATATCCAATTTTAAATTTTAAGATGTCTTCTCATTTGTTTTTGAATTTATTTCTCATTCTTTTGATTGTTTTTTTTTTTTGTTTCAGGTCATTTTATAGAGTTGATTTTTTTATTTATTTTATCATTCAATCCAAAATTATAAATTTCCCTCTCTCTCTATATATATTTTAAATATGGTCTTTATTATGTTAATTGCTACTTTTTTTTTAGATTATTTTTCAATTTTATCATTCAATATTAGATTTATTAATAATTGAGTTTCATTATTTTTCTCGATGAGATGATCTATATGCCAAGACCCACGTCACAGATTTAAAAAGTTAACTTAAATCATGAATTTGAAAAGTTAGTCACAAATTTAAAAAGCAAACTTAAGTTATGAATTTGAAAAGTTAACCTGAGTTGATGTAATTTTTTTAAAGTTGATTTTTTTATATATATTTTTTAATTTCATCATCAAACATTTATTTTTTTAAAAAAATTAGGCTATGAGATTTTATTTATGTGAGGCTATTTTAATCTCACCTAGATTGTTGGTTCAACAGTTTAGCCTAGATTGACTTAAGTTTTTTTTTAGATTGATTTTTTTTAAATCTAATATTTTTCCAGTTTTGTCCATTAATACTAGATTGGTTTTAAAATTGCAATTCATGAATTTTTCTATTTTTTCTTCTATTTAGTTATGTTATTCATATGATCCAAGTAACGAAGTTTCATGGGCTTACCCAAGTTTGAAAGAGTTTTTTTTTTGTTAATTGATTTTTTTTAGTTCACCCTTCTATATCATATTTATTGAAAATTAAACTTTGTAAATTTTTTGATTTATTTTTTATTAGGTTATCCCAACTTTATGTCTTAAATATTAGGTTTGATATGCTAACTTAGATTATCTTAAATCAATTTATTTATTTTTTCCAATCTTATTATTTTGCATTGGCTTGGATAGGAATTGACTTTTTTTTGCAGTGTTCTTTTTGTGAAAATTATTATGATCACTTTTTTTGATTTAATTCAGTTGAAAATTATTATGATTATTTTTTTTTATTTATCATCATTGTATTTTTTTTATCTAATTAAATAATATAACATTATTTGATTAAGTCAAGTGACCTGAGTTGTAATTTGTTTTTGTTTTAAAAAAAAAACACATACTTGCAATACTTAAATATTTTTTTTACATTGAATGTTTTTTGGTTTGATCGGTATGGTAGTGTGGACTACTAATCTAATTTTAATCAGCGTTTATTTAACTTGCCTTGTTTTTTATAATATTATTTAAACTAAAGATAAAATCAGGTTATTTTATCCATGTAATCCTTCAGTTTCGGTGGGATGATATTTTTGAAAATTTCAGCAATAACTTCATTAGGACCACATCAAATGGATTTGTCAAGAATATAAATCTTCGTATTTTTTTTTGTGTTTCTTTCTTTCCTCCGTGCTTTATATATATATAATTTTTAAAGTACTAAAAAATGAATAGAAATCCTTAAAACTTTATTATATTTTGTCTTTTTAGATAACAAACCCACATAAATATTGTTTTTCAATTTTTTTTTCACATTTCATCTTCTTTTATATTCTAAACAATAAAGGTTTATTAATGTCTCATTTTTTTTATATACACAAATCTTTTAACGGGCCCATCTCGCTATGCCTTTTTTACACATGAAATAACATGACTAGCCATATTATAACCACACCTCTTCATATAAAATGCATAGTTCTATATTATTATAGATAAATAGATATTGAAAATTTTCATTTGCTTAATAAGAAGGGAGAGAAGGCAGTTCTGTCAACACACTTCACGAACTTGAACAGTTTGTAAAAATAACACATTTTATTGAGACAAATGTGCCCTACTCACATCCAAAAAAATTATTTTATAAGAATACGGGTAAGAGCGATTATTGTGAATGGGTCCCACAAGTGATGATAATGTAAAAAAATTTAAATTATTTTATTTTTGATATTTTTATTTTAATATGTTAATATCAAAAATAAATTTTAATAAATAAAAAAATATTATTTCAATATATTTCAATCATTTGAAAAACAAAATACATGCCCAGTTTCATCCATGTAAAAGAAAGAAAGAAAGAAAGCAGAAGAAAAGAAGCCTCGAGGACTCCATGGACAGCCAGTTTCCCGCAAATACAATCTGTTACAAGTTAGTGTTCATGGTGCGGAAAAATGGGTTCATAGTGGCAGCATAAACGACTGGGCCTTGCAGATAATTTCCGAGCGCATTTTGAACCAAGCGAACAGATAGTAAACCAACTTCTGAATTTATTTCTGTGGAGTAAATCTCAGGTTGTTCCACTAGAAAGAACCGTACATTTGAATAAATCTCGTAAACAAGCCTATAAGCTTTACCGCCATACCCCCGCTGGAAGTTCAGAGCAGGTATGCAGTAACACTCACTGGATACGCCGGCTAAGCCCCCCCAAGTTTTTAACTGCGAGGATGTCTTGGTGATGGCATGCAAAAGCATCGGCAAGGTTACTCCTCTGAAACTTTAAAGAATGTATACGATAAAATTATGTTGTTGATTCCATCCATTCTAGGATCCGTTTCAAATTCTGGATCAATATAAAAGAAGACCTGCAATCATAAAGTATGATATGATTGAATAGTGACAAAAGAACCATGCTTCAAAACACACTATATTTCTAAAGCCCTTGTATAGAGGGAAAAAATGGATGCGTGTGTGTGTGAACAAGGTGGGAAAGGGAAAAGAAACTACTCACAGGCATGTCAATCTGCTCCCCAGGAAGAAGACGCTGCTCCTCAAAGCAAAAACATTGTATTTTATTGAAGTACACGGCAGCCTGTAAAGAGTTGCAAACAAATGTTGGATGTTATGAAGCACGAGCAATTACATAAAAGTAAAAATGCTAGTTAGTAGCATTAGCCATTAGGATGTCCCTTCTTATCCAGTTCAGATAAGACCATGGTCCATAAAACAAGAATTGATCTTCTCCAGAAATAATAAATCCTCCACATGATCCAAATGATTCCCTTAATGTATTAATTTTATGACTTGGAAAAATTAAATGGGAAACTTATTAATACTACTACTATATTGTTATTTTATTCAGTAGGATTTTATTAGGATGATTGATAATGCAGCATCAGTCATTCTACACACCCGTGCATGGAAGGCACACATTAAAACACATGTATACACACAGAGCAAGATCATAAACAATAATTAAAGGTTGCATGAATGCAGGACGAGCAAGATACTCAAAACTGCTTAGCTTCAAATAAGTTTAACAACAAGACTTTAGGCAATTTCCTTACAAGGAAAAACTCAAGACCTCGTTTTAATTTTTCTACCTACCAGCAATAGTCTACTTTAAGTCAACATTGTACCCAACTGGCCTAGATTGGTATAGAGGCATTTTGATTGCTACTTCATTTCTCTTCTGGTATGAATTAGGAACTACAGATCTCCGATAGGAAGTTTGCAAACAAAGTCAACCTAGCACGCTCATATAAGCATGCCACATTTCTCTTCTGATATGAATTACGAACTACAGATCTACAATAGGAAGTGTGCAAACAAACTCAACCTAGCACACACTTATATAAGCATGCCACATTACACCCAAAAACCTCTAGAAAATTCAGAAGTAGAATTACCAGTGTCTCTGGCAACTTCAAAAGCTGAAGCTTCTACTATATTTTCTCAAACCATGAGCAAGCAAGGATTTTTCCTGGAAACATGTCAACAACAGGAGCAACAACGCCTAATAAAAGGACACAGTTTGATATCCCATACACGGTGGTTAACAAAGGGATGCTTAGTAACTGTCATTAATCTATTCATTTGCACACTATACCCTCAGAAAATACTAGCCATTGAGATTTCAAAGTTCAAAGACAATTTTCATTCCCCAAGCACTTCAAAAATTCATCTACAAAAGAAATAAGGAAAAAAGAGAGATCTAAACATCCATTGCAAAAAAAGAACAATAGTCTAAGAAACGAGGAAGCAAGCCAAAAATGCAAGTCATAATCTTACTATCAAACAAAGAGAACCTAAAATGACCTCTCAATGTGTTCCTTCCGCGCCAACCCAAAGCTAGCTAGTGAATGGAAAAAAAACTAGATGGATTCCTGTTTTCACTGCTAAAATCTCCAGCTTCCAAGCATTCAACTCCATAGCATGAAATCATTCTACACCCCTTGTTCTGTACGCCCACTCTCATAAGGCTCTAGCCCATAAACAATACAGAACTAGACAATTAATAATTTCATCTACATACTAACAAGGATAACACCGGTTCACCAACAACTTTAATTGATATTGAAAATCTTATTCCAAGGTGCCTCCCATTCTATAAGGAAAAGTGGGGGACTTGATTTGAACTTCCAAATAGCTCTCCATGGATAATGTGCTTGCCTTAGCACATCATTTCTTCCACAAAACTCCATATAGTTTCATATCAACTTTACAATTCTTAGACGTTCCTCATATCACTCAATCATCCTAATTCTACATTCAAGTCCACGTCACTAAAAATAAATACAGCAACACAATTGGAATCAAATGCTTGAAGAAACACCAAAGGCCAACAACAAACAACGAAACATGAAAGTAATCATGCAAGTATCCCAGCTTTTAGCAAATAAAAGATTCATGTTAATATCCTATAATCAGAGTTCTAGCAAGCGCACCACACCATGGGATGCACAAAAATGACTTCATAATGGATGAGGTTTTGGAAAATGCGGTGAAGGTCCACAAAAAACCCTCTAAAAAAGGGTCTAATCTAATACATGCCAATTCAAATCTGATCTTAGCACTGCCCCTTCTCAGATAATTTTGAATTTAACATATAACACGGAGGTTCAATGGGAGTTCTCCCATTCACCAATTCCTATTTTGTTTGACATTACTGAAATCTGTTGAGTACTGTGCTTTCACATTATCCAACAACTCATAGAACATGGTTGATCAGCAGCCAAAGAAAGAAGAGGAATGGGATGCCCCAGAGCAGCAGTTCCCGGATATATTTTGCCTTAGACAATTCGGGGGGGGGGGGGGGGGGGGCAAAAACGAAATAAAGAAGAAAAAGGCGATGAGGATATCCTATGTTTGTTTTCACCTTGCCCCGATGACACGCTCCTAGCTTGCGGATTTACAAACCAGAAAAAAAGAAAAAAAAATCTCTATTGCTTTGAGAAGAGATTTGTTGGTTTCCAAAGTCTAAGCATGACTAAAATCAACAATGGAAGAATAAAGCAACAGACTTCAAAATTAACACGAAATTAATTCAAAATTAAATTCACATACCACATTGCTTAAATGAAAGAGCATACAAAATTAGTACCTTCATAGGAGTAACATTATATGTAGATACACCAGTTATTGGAGTGGAGCTTTGATTTTCAGCAGTGTAAAATGCAAGAGCACTTTCTCCTGGCTTTACTCTTACCTAGAGAGAAGAAAACATTGCATTCAAGACAGCAAATCACAGAGGAAGCAGCTGGTTAAACATAAGCATGCATGCACATTACGCAGAAGAGAACCTCTCTTTGTGTAGGAGCGAACTTCCATGGCATTCCGTCACCCACATCAGCATTAAACTGCACTGCTATCTCCCTATACAAACAAGAAAGAGCCTGCCATCAGGACAAAGGCACCACAAAGCTGAAAAAATTAGAGATTTACAGCTTAATCAAATTCAAGTTCAGTATCCTAGAGATTTCCTGGAGTATCAAGCCCTAATAAGCAATCCAAGACATCTGAAGGATAGTTATCCAAGATTCACGTCCATCAAGTTTGGTTTATGAAAAAAGGGTACTGTGTGTCATGCCTGTTTGGCAATGCAGTAGCTTCTGTTTTTCAAAGTACTTTTCAAATTGCTTTTTCACCTTAAAAACATCAAATTGATGTTTGTTTAGGTGCTTTTCGATGATTTGGATACGCTGATGTAATAAATAAATAAATAAAATCTAAAAAAACATCATTTTGATGTATTTTCAATTGAAAAGGACTTTTAAAAAGCATACTGCACAATATTACCAAACAGATAATTACACCAGGTACTACAGCATGATATTGCAAATCCAAAAGGATCATTTCTGTTTATCTTTAAACTTGTCTTTCACCATTATTCAATATTACTCTCAAAGCATGAGAATTCAATAAAACAATGTCAAGAAACCAAAAATGTAACAAAGTCACCACAATAAAAACAAAAGTCAGAACAACGTTAATACCAAAAGGGAGAAAGAAAGACACCTAGTGGCAACAGTTCCATCGTTAGCATGCCGAGCAATCTTCTCTTCAACACTCTATGTATTAAAAAACACAAAGCACAACAGAATACAAAAGTTAATGCCAACATTAAATTTACACAGAACAGACGCAACAAGAAAAAATGTGATTACAAACGATTAAAAGAAGAGAAACCTCGCGGCGTTGAACAGTTCCGCCATAACCAGTGGCTTGACAGAACCTCCTATAAAGAGGAACAGCAGCATAACTACTACCAACCATGGCAACCACCAAACCCGTCAAATAAATTAACGTCTTTTTTGATTTCTGCTCTCTACTCGTATTACTACTAGCAGCAGAACCACCGCCCACTTTATAAGAAGTAGAAAAAAGCTTCTTAATTTCACATCTACTTTTATTGTAACTGCCAAAACAATAATAACAATAAAAATTGTGCGTTTGTGTTAGAAATTTTAGCAAAATAAGTTGTTGATAAAATAAAACTAAGAGGTGTTCATTTACATGGGTTGCTGAAAAGGGTGGTGATTTTGGTGTAGAGGTTTGAATTGAGAAAGCAAGAGATTGCGATTTGTTGCTCTTCTTGTCGCTCTAGCGAGGCTTGACCATGACATTTTTTTGCTCTTCTTCAATTCAGGAGACTGGAAAGATTATGGTGACAATTTTACAAGATTAAAATCAAACTGCAAGTGTTTTGCATTTGGGGTTTGTTTGGGCGCTGAGAAAGTGAGAGAATGGAAGAAGAGAGAAGGGATCGAATAAGTTAATAGCCAGCACGGGGTGTTTTTGATACTGAGTTTCGAACTCTTTTTTATTTTTATAGAATTGGATCAAAACAACGAATATCAGACCTATTTTACGGGGGCCATGGAAGCAATCGGCGGAGGTGTACTGGTTGTGACTTTGATTTTGCATTCGCTTATCGTTTGGGCCGTGGGTCAGGCCTGGGGAGAGTCCATGGCTTTCTTTTTGGGCTTCGTTTGCATGCTCTCACCCCTTTTCTTTTCCTTTTATTTTGGGATAATTACAAAAACTCTTCTCTAGTTTTATTTTGGGATAATTACAAAAGCTTTTCCTTTCAATGTATGTATGTATGTATGTATATGTATACAAGTTTGGAAAACTCAAACTCGTAATCTTATATACGCCTAATTCCAACTGGAAGGGTTAATTTTATTATTGTGTACATTAGTATGGTTAAGACCCAGTTCCTCCATGATGGTCAGTTTTTGTTGGAAATCAATCTCTTCTCTCGCAACGCTCCATGACGGAAAGAAAATAAAGTTTGAGATTGAAATTTAAAATCCCAAAACTTCAAGGACCATATAAAATTACATAAACTTAAGTTTTAGGGACTAAATTGAAGTATTTAGTGCCCTTCCAACATTGGACTCCATTATTATTTATTTATCTTGGTTTTCCAAATCTATCTCTAATTTAACACCGAACAATTGCTTGCATTTCACATATGCTACAGCATGTAAAGTGAAAAAAGCATTGCTTGTACTTTATATAAAGAGTAGAGTGTGGATGAAACGGGGCGGGAGGGCCAATCAACACTTTCTTTTTTAGCGATTCAGGTCAGGTTTCCTGCCTTTATTTATTCTTAAGAATGAAAGTCTTTGAATGAAAAATAAATAAAGAAGAGAAAAGCTAACTCGTGTCGACGGAAGAGTGTTTCAGTGTTTGTGCTTTTGATTTTTTGGATTATTAGAAAAGAGTCGATAGGAATGTTTTGAATAATAAATCACTGTTTATTTGTGAAAGTGGTCTAAATTATATTTTTAAAAAATTCAAATTATTTTTATTAAAATTTAATATATTTTAAATTATTTTGATATGTTGATATCATAAATAATTTTTAAAAAATAAAAAAATATTATTAATATGTATTTTAATATAAAAAATTATTTAAAAAATAATTATAATTATATTATCAAATAGATTTTTGTCTTTTTAACTCCTCTTCATGTGCATGGTTAGAAAATTTATTTTTTAAAAATATTGTTTTAATTTAATATTTTTAGGACTTTAAAAATAAATTTTTTAAAATAAAAATATTATTTTAATATATTTTTAAATAAAAAATATTTTAAAAAATAATTATAAATATAATACTAAATATGCTCAGTCTCTTTTCTTTTATATCTTTGAATTTATATTATAATAATATTATAGGTTTTTTTGGTATTATGTTATTTATTATTTATTATTTTTAAAAAAATATATTTTTATTTGAAATTATATTAAAATAATGTATTTAAAAAAATTATTTTTAACAATATCATATTAAAATAATTTTAAAAAAATTAATCTTTTAAAAATATTTTTGAAACGAAACCTCGGATCCAACTGATCGGATCCATCTGACCTTAGGTCTGTTACCGTCAATCACACCTACTTTTCCGTGGAATTAGAGTCTGTGGGCCCGTGGCTGCAAATATTGAAGACGTTGGTGTCCTGTCCGTGTTTTGGTAAGCCACCTCACATAATTATTCAAACAAAAGAAAAGAAAAAAAGGCGGTAGGTGCGGATTCACGCATGGTCGTGGGTTAATCGAGCGATTTGTTTGTTCCTCGGGCCCAATCGACCGATGCTTGCTCGATGTCGGGGCCGGCTCGAATAGGTTACAAGGGAAACAAACGGAGTCGCGCGATTTGAGACGTTCCTCTTGTCTCGTGGCGGCAGTTTCAATCTATGGCCGTAGGTAGCGGGTAGTTAGCATTGTCATAAAATATTTATTTATTGATTTTGAAATCCACCTAACGGCAACTCTTGACGAATTTGAATCGACATGTGGAATCAATTAAATACGGCGACTTTGCTTTGCCGTCTCAAAGTTACCCACATTGTTCCTTCGTTGATATAATTGTAGAGATCTGAAAGCCGAGTTGTATTTTTCTAAGGTATATCGACATCAAGCAGAATTCATGGCAGAATTGAAGACGACTTTGTTTTCAATTAACTTCAAAACTAGCCAAAAAAAAAGTTATCATCAAATGAAAATTCACTATTTTTTATATTATTAATTACTGACATTTCAAAATTTAATGTTTCTAAAAATAAAATTTATGTAGTTAAATAATAAATTAATTATTTAGTTCTAATAATCTAATTAATCCTTCTTAACTAAAATAAGTGATAACTTGGTATAGGAAATTAAGATGCATGATAGATTAATTTGAGAAGTTAAGTACATGTAAAACATCCATTTCTTATACACTCATTTCAATTATCTTAATTGTTAACAATTAACAATTACATGCTAATATCCATGTCATACATTTTGCTTTAATACATTTTGCTTTAAGTAAGTTCATCTCATATCAATTTTTCACTATTTGCGCTTTACATCATTTAAATTTTCATTTTATCTTTTACTCGTCATATTATCATCCTTACATCATAATTTAATTCAACTCGTCTCTATTAAAATCATTCCTTTCATCTTTAGAATCGATTAGTCATGTATAAACACTTTCATTTGGTGTTTCTTTGTACAATAAATTCATCTCATAACTCTTTTCATCTCATAAACTTTTTCTATTTGTATTAATATTAATACTTCACACTCATTGAATTTACCTTACAATATATTTTTATTTAATTAATTTCTTATACTCATTCATGTTTTAATTCTTTCTATTGAATAACAGCAACCCAGCCTTTACGTCAACACTAAAGCTTTTAGAGAAGCTTATTTCTTCACACTAGTAACAACAACAAGTAATATAGCAATCTTCAATTAACTTCTTTAGCAAGCAACCATTAAGCTGTTAGAGTTAGTTACAATTAGTTAGTTATAATTAGTTATTTAAAACTTATTCTGTTTTTCTATGCTAAATATAAATATTGTAATAGGCTCCTGAAATAAAGAGAGGGAAAATTTTAGTTCATATTTTTCATTTTTAATATGATATCAGAGCATTTTCTTTGAAATTTTATTTTCATATCTTCATCCTCTTCATTAGTTTCTTCTTTCTCTTTATTTTCTTGGCAATGGCTGAAAATACCAACCCTACATCAAAAATGGATTCTTCCAATCCTTTCTTTCTGCATCATGGTGACACTCCTGGAGCTATGATTATTTTAAAGCTACTCAATGGTGAAAATTATAATTAGTGGAAAAGGGAGATGGTGATGGCTTTATTAGCTAAGAACAAACTCAGTTTTGTTAATGGCAAGGCCTACGCTATCCAATCTTTATGATTCTCAAGGTTTGACATAGACTCGTTGCAATAATATAGTTCTCTCATGGTTGCTCAATTTTATTTCAATAGAGATTGCTAACAATATTATTTATATTGATGATGCATCTGAAATATGGAATGATCTTCATGATCGTTTTTCTCAGCATAATAGACTATGAATTTTTCATCTCTAGAAATTTCTCTCATGTTTGTCACAAGAAAATAATTTTATCAGTTCATACTTTACTACTATGAAAGGATTATGAGATGAGCTAGGAAATCACTAACCAATTCCTACATGCACATGTGGAGCTTTGAATATAATAGTATTAAATGAAAGTTATTCACATGTTTGAGGTCAAATTCTATTGATTGATCCATTGCCTTCAATCAATAAAGTTTTTTCACTTGTCATCCAGGAAGAGAGGCAACATATGATCTCTTCATCAGGTCTTTCTTTCAATCAAAACACCACTGTATTATTTACAAAGATTGTGTCTCCAACTTATTTTGCTGGTAACAAATCTTTTCATATTCGAAAAGATCGACCTATATGTTCTTATTGTGGTATTCATAGTCACACTATGGAGAAATGTTACAGAATTCATGGCTTTCCACTTGATTACAAGTTTAACAAAGGAAAGAATGCACTTTATAGTGTTAATCAAGTTTCTGAACATATTGCTCCTCAGTCGCCCATTACATATGAACAATGTCAGCAGCTTATTAAACCGCCAATCTCAGACTTGACGCATCTGTCAACCAAGTTTCTTCATTTAACAATAAATAATAAAAAATTTCCATTCAAGGTGAAACTCCCATTAATATGATAAGTGTAGGTGATTTTTCAATTACATCTCAACTTTCTACTCTAGATTCAAAACATTCTATTTTTACATCTTCTTTATCTTTAACTCAGCAGTCTTCACTCATAAATCTTGTCAAAACTCCTTAGATCATTGATACTGGTACTACAGATCACATGATCTATTCCATATCATTTTTCACAACTATTACTTTTGTTTTTTCCAAATCGGTAAGATTACCCAATGGATAATATGTTTCAGTTACTCATATTGGTACAATTAAGATTTTAGAATCTTTTGTTTTGAATGATGTGCTTTGTATTCCTTTTTTTTCATTTAACTTCTGTTAGAAAACTGATTAAAACTCTACAATGCTGTATCATTTTCTTATCCAAATTCTGTTTTGTTTAGCACTTTACAAGCTGGAAAAAGAGTGGTGTGGGTAGAAAAGCTGGAGGTTTATATCATTTGCTGTAAAATCCAGTTTCTGTTTTGCTAAGAATTTTATTTTTGTCAATTCTACAAAATCCATGTCCAACCATGCAGTCGCTGATTTAGCCTCTGCTAGTTTCTCTGTAAACTCTGCCAACAATAGCTTATGGCACTACAGATTTAAACATCTTTCAGACTCTTATTTGAAATTACTTTCCTATATAATTCCTCAAGCTTTACATGAATCTAATAAGACTTGCAGCATTTGTCCATTGGCTAAACAACATCGTTTATCTTTTCCTCATGGCATATCTCCTTCTACACAACCTTTTGATTTACTTTATTATGATTTTTAGGACCCTTTTTTCTACTAAATCTCTTAGTGGATCCTCATATTTTCTAACCATTATTAATGATCATACCAGATTTACATAGATTCACCTTTTAGAAATAAAGTCTTAAACTATATTTTATATTCAGGCTTTCTTTAATATGGTGAAGTCACAATTCAATGCTAAAATCAAATCCTTAAAGTCAGATAATGAAGTTAAGTTCAACATGAGTCGTTTCTATACATCAAAAGGTATTGTCCATCAACTAAGTTGTGTTGAAACACCACAACAAAACTCAACTATTGAATACAAACACCAGCATATCTTGAATGTGGCTACATGCATTCATTTTCAGTCACATTTATATTTTATAATTTTGGAGGAATTGTGTTATTACTACAGTACATTTGATAAATAGGATTTTTACTCCTGTACTACAAAATAAATCTTCTTATGAAGCTTTATTTAAATCTTCTCCATTGTATTCCTATTTGCGAGTATTTGGTTGTATTTGTTATACAAATACTCTTCTTCGCAATATACATAAGTTTGATCTTAGAGTTAAGCCTTGCATATTTCTTGGTTATCCATTTGGCATTAAAGGTTACAAACTCTATGATTTAAATCTGTATACCGTGTTTGTGTCAAAAGATGTTGTGTTCAATGAAAATATATTTTCTTTTGCACTTAAATATCTTATACCTCCTATATCTTATACCTCCTACTGATTTTGTCCTACCCTTACCTATTTCACTGCATAAATTAGTCATTCCTTTACTTGATCCCTTGTTTTCCAACTCTTTTCCTTTAAGTTCTATCACTTATTCGCCTTCTAGTTCAAGTAACATGCCCTCTACTTTAGAACCACGTATAATATTTGATTTATAATTTATACATCAGCCAAGTAGAAAGTCTTCTAGGGTAAAACACACACCTAGATATTTGCATGGCTATTATTGTCATATTGCAACCTCCATTTTAGACCCTGCACCTTTGTCTTCAGCTTCAGGTATTCCTTATACTCTTTCTTCAGTTCTTTCCTATGATCATTTTTCTTCTATTAATTTTTTTTTTAGTTTTTCTATCTCTGCACTTGTTGAGCCCATATCTTATACCTAAGTTGTAAAACATGGGGAGTGGCGTGGGGCTATGGATAATGATATCAAAACTCTTGAACTGAATGATACCTGGACTGTTGTTGATTTTCCTACTTCAAACCATGATATTGGGAGCAAATAGGTTTACAAAGTCAAGTTAAAATCTGATGGGATTTTAGAGAGGTATAAGACCAAGTTAGTTGCAAATGGGCATAATCAGTGTGAGGGGTTGAATTATTATGAGACCTTTTCTCCTGTGGCTAAACTCATCACCATGAGAACTCTTTTGGCAGTTGCGGCTATAAAGAAGTGGCATCTTCATCAATTGGATGTGAATAATGCCTTTTTTTTCATGGACAATTAGATGAAGCGGTTTACATGTCCTTACCTCATAGATTTAATAAATAGGGTAAGTCCAAAGTATGCAAGCTACATAAGTCAATCTATGGCCTAAAGCAAGCTTTAAAGTAGTGGTTTACTAAATTCTCTTCTGCCCTGATCGAGTTTGGGTTTCTACAGTCTAAAGCTGATTACACTTTGTTCACAAGAACTTTGGAGGGTTCATTCATCGATTTATTGGTTTATATTGATGATATAGTTATTGCCAGTGATAATTCAGCTAAAGTTTCAAAGTTTATCTAATTGCTTAATGATAACTTTAAACTAAAAGACTTTGGCCAGTTGAAATATTTCCTTGGTTTAGAAATAGTTTGTAGTGAGCTTAACATCTTTATTTGTCAAAGAAAATATGCCTTAGAAATTCTTGAAGATATTGGTATGTTGGCTTTGAAACTTGTAAAACTTCCAATGGAACCTAATGTGAAATTCTCTAGGGATTCTGGCCTAATCTTAGATGATCTACTTCCTACTGACGGCTTGTTGGGAGATTACTCTATCTCATTAACAGCAGCCCTAACACTTCATTTGTTGTCCAGGTATTAAGTTAATTTATAGACAAACCTAGAATTCCTTATTGAGATGCAACAACTAGAATTCTGTGATATATTAAAGCATCTCCTACTCAAGGGTTGTTCTTTCCAGTTATCTCTAGTTTACAAGTGAAGGCATTCTGTTATTCAGACTGGGCTGGTTGCTTGGATTTCAGAAGATTAGTAACAGGGTATTGGATCTTTCTTGACAATTCATTGATTTCTTAGAAATCAAAGAAACAAACCACTATATCCATGTCTTTTGCTGAGGCTAAGTACAGAGAAATAAAATCTACTTGTTGTGAGGTTGTGCGACTTCGCACTCTTTTTCAGGATCTATATGTTTCACCTTAAACTGCTTTACTTTATTATGACAATAAAGCTGCTCTTTACATTGCAGCAAACCCTGTCTTCCATGAGCATACCAAATACATTGACATTGATTGTCATGTGGTTCGGGAGAAGATTTAGTTAGGCATTCTGCGAACTTTTCATGTTTTCTTCAAACACCAGCTTGTTGATATCTTTACTATGGCTCTCGACTTCTCTCTTTTTAATCATTTGATATTCAAGATGAACCTTCTTAACATTTATTCTCTTTGATATTTTTATGAGTCTTATCTTAATAGGGAGTATTGAATAACAACAGCCCAATCTTTACGTTAACACTGAAGCTGTTAGAGAAGTTTATTTCTTCACACAGTAGCAACAACAATGAATACAACAATCTTCAGTTAAATACTTTTTCAACAAGTAACCATTAAGCTGTTAGAGTTAGTTACAATTAATTATTTAAAACAGAATAGGAAAAAATTCAGTTCACATTTATCATTACTTTCTTTTTAGTTCATTTCCAATACTTTCAACTTAATTATTTTCCAGGTCTCCTGTAACATATCTATATATTCCTCAAAACACATAATTTTATTGTCCATACACTACATATTTCATTACTTTCTTTTTATATATCATTTTCATTATTTATGCTTTATCACATGTTTATCCACTATCAATGTTTCTGCACTACTTCTATATCCCCGTGACATAATTATGTCATTTTCTTTTTCATAACACTTGGCGTTTTTAGTAAAATTAATTCCAACCCAGTAGATATCGTGTAATAAATAAATAATTTAGCAGTATGTTTATGAGAATAAAATATAAAAAATAGTTGCTTTAATCGTGAGCTGGTAGAAAGGCATCTAAGATCAAGGATGCAAGACATTTTGATACTACTCATTGTATAATGCCAAATAGTAAAATTTAATTCTAATGGCTAGCCTTTAAATGCTATATGAAATCATTTTTTTTATAATTGAAATTTAACATTAGTGTTAAATTTGTTAAATTTCAATTTAATATTAAAACAAATCAAATCAAATTAGTTTGTTTTTTATATTGTCATTATTACTTTAATCTTAATCCGTCAAAAACCTTTTTGAAAAAAAGATAGGTAAATGAATATTAAAAAAAACCTAATTTCTTCTTGTAAAAGTTAGCATTTGATTTATTTTTGTACCATTTTTATTTAAAATTTAATTCTTGATAGTTAAAATAGTTCTAAATGTAAAAATCTATTAAAATCTTTAAATTAAATTCAATTAAGAAATTTGTTATTTATAATTATCGTAATTAATTCTTTCACAGAGCAGGTAAATTATTCATTATTATTGAGACAAGAAATGGAGCAAAAGGATGTCCTCTGTCTCCTGGGATCAAGGTTTCAGTTAACGGAAAGACAGCCTTCAGCTGTAACATGATAGAAAAAAGGGGCGTTGGCCGCACAAGAGTTTTGCAAAATTTAGATTTTTTTATATTTTTTTAAATTATTGTAACAATTTTAAATATATATTTTAAAAATTAAAAATAAATATTTTAATATATTTTTAAATAAAAAATACTTTAAAAATTAATCAAGTACATTCTCCTGTGTACAGTTTAAAAATAGAATATTTAAGATATAAAAATTACATTTATGTGGTTTAACTTAAATTATATATTTTATGCATCGGATCCACTGTTAAAAACAACATCTCTTGTTTGAACTAAAAAGCACAAGGACCCTATGAGCTAGCATGAAGTCAAGATCCGAGGTCTTTTATAAGTACTTGGGGTGTGCTAGTTCGTTTCTGCGTGAAGAATAAAACGTTGCCAGCCAGCGTTTCAACCTCAGCAAGATGTCTAGGAAGATGTCTTCGAAACATGGACACCCGGAACTGGAGGCAGCCCAAAGAAAGTGTCTGGTATCTATCTTTTACTTTGTGTTCTTAATTAACTGGCCTATAAGTTATTGGTTTTTTCCTTCCTTTACACACACACACACACACACACACACATATTGTTGTATTAAATTAGTAAACATAGTTTCTATCATTCATGATTTGGACCAACATTGCAAACAGAGAATAAAAGTTATGAGGAGAGGGACACGCAGGACAAGCTGCATGATCAGAGGGATTACATCTAAGATGGTTGAGATCAGGGAAGGACAGAAACGAGTAAAAGAGGGGCAGAAGGAAGTAAGGAAAAAATTTAAAGAAATAAGAAAAGAGTCAAAGAAACTAAAAGACGAAACCGATCTTATCTCCAGGCAGAGTGCTGCAAATCAACTCAGGCTTGATCTCATGTTTCAAATAGTGAAAGCCAGAGCAGATAATGATTCTGCCAAAGACGCTCATCTTACACAAACCTTGCGGTTTGTTGCTCCGAACTCTTACACCCTTTTTCTCTGTTCTTACTGTTTACACACACACACACACACACACATCAATGCCACATTTAATTAGCACTCTAAAAACCATAGCTAGCTAGCTGCAGTTATTTGGAGGGTTGTACTAGCTTCTTAATGCGTGTTATACGATTACTAACTACGTTTTCTATGACTTAAATCTCTTGCATTTGCAGTGAACTAATGGCGAAAGGAGAATGTGAGCATAAGCAAGCTTTTCATAGAGGAGGGGATCATCAAGCACGAACTATGTATAATTAGTGTCAGTTTTATTATACCATGATTTGATCTTACGGTCCTGTTCTGACCCTGGCCAAAGAAAATACAAATTATTGTACTACGAATTAATCACGATACTCAACTCTTTAATATATATATATATGCATTGTACTTCTTCTTCTTCTTCTTCTTCTTTATAGCTACGTACGCTCAAACAGGTAAAATATCACGGCAAGGGCGAATTAATGAGCTTTCAGTGATCTGAAATGAATATTGATCATCAGTGCGTTCTTTTTTACCACAAATATTTCATCTTTTAAAATTTCATTCAACGATACCCTCTTGAAATATAATCACATTGATTTTTATATGGATATTATAAACGCAAACTATTATAATCTTATGTTAATTAACTAAATAAATTAAATTTTTAATTAATAGTCTAACGGAATTTTTTTTTTAATCAAGAATTCCTCTTGGACTAGGATTTAACTAGTATCTCAACAGTTTCGCCTAATCATATACCCATTGTTATCAAATTAATCTACCCACTGATCCTTGCCCACCTATTGAGCTTAGGACGGAAACCACCATGAAGGCATGAACACGGCCACCGGTTTTGGTAGCTGGTCTGAGGGACATTACGTACCTCTACCATCACCCTAGTGATCGTTGCGAAGCAGGCCGGTGGTAAAGACCTAATCAATCGTGGCATCTTATTTCTCATCGACACACTTAGATTTAAATAAATATAGCTCTTCAGCAGACCAAGACAATCAAACTCGTTGTTTCCTTTCCTTCAGTATTCTTTTGTATTTTTACCCATCTTCGATTCTCACTCGGTTTCACTAGTCTGCATTGACATAACGTTTCCAATATATGTAAACATCCAAAGTGCTGGCGAAAGTTGCATGATCTCCTTGTTGCCACAGCGTTTTATATACTTCACCACTGCAATTCCATTGCCCCCAGACCAAAAAATATACTCGGTTGTCTTCAGGAAAATCCAAAACAATAGTCCTTTTCTTATACTTGGATATTCCGTATTTTTTAAGTTTTATATCTGATAATTTTGAATTTTGAATTTAGATAGTTTTCGATATTCCAAAACATAGCTAGATTTAAATCTTGGTTCAGAATAACTGCTACTATCAAATGTTGTGGCACCCGATTGAACTAATTTTGGAAATGTCTTTCATATTCAGAATTGCTACTGTTTGCCCTTCATATAAATAATGACATGACACTTTCAAAATCAAAGCTATCGAAGTAGTGATAAACTTATTAGAGTAGCTAAATAGCATATCATCATTTATTCATTTTAGTGTTTTTTTAATTTTAATTTTCTCCATTTATATTTAATTTATCTAGAATTAAATATTTTATTTTTTATAAAGCTATTCTAATTTCATGATTCAAATCATAAATTTGATAAATTAACTTAATTACTTATTATTTTTTAATTAATTTTTTATTTTCATTCCATTCATGATTTATCTATTACAAATTAATATTTATTATTTATTTTGACCATAAATATTGCACAACAACCAAAACGAATGTTTTCAATCTTTCATGAACAGTTTGTTTTTCCTTTTCTTTTCTTACTGGTACTAGACCCATATTTGTTGGCCATGGTTGTAAACATGAATAAAAAGTTTTAGAAATTGGATGAAATAGCTTTGTGAAACCATGAAGAATAGCGTTAACAGTTGAAACCAAGTTGCCTTATGCAACTCGGCGGCCAATAGACATTGCAGAATTTTCGGTGATTCTAATTATTAAAGATCAACTCCCAAAATCTTGTCCAATTTAATTATCTCTTTTACAAGATCTTTCATGTCATCTTCACGCCGGATGAAGAGCTGGTTTCAATCTTTGTGGTTGGTAAGGAAACTGAATTCTCCTTAATTACTGTCCCCCGTCAATTTTTATGTTATTCTCACTTAATCATTCGTGGGTATGGTTAAATTTACTATCTTCCATTTAATAATTACATTAAATTTTTTTTGATACAAAAGTTCACGATATCTGAGAAAAACCACTAGATCACTTTACCATAAAGAAATAATTCTATATGAAAAATAAAATAAATAATCTTTATAATCTAAAAACTATATAAAAGAAAATTTGATATAATTAAGAAACTGAATTCTCCTTAATCATATTTTATCGAATGAAAGTAAAGACAGTACTATATTTCTTTCACTTCATTCTTTGTTGTGGATGAACTAACTTTTATTTAAATACATTTCTGTTTGCGTATAAAAGTTTAAAACTAATTTTCTATTAATTATTTGAAAATAACCTTAGGAAGTTTTTGGTATTTTATAAAACTAAAAATATTAAAAGATATTCTTGTTATGAATGAAACAAAGTAACATTTAGTTACTATTTTAAAATAGATGAATACAACTAAGATAAAAAAAAAATGAGATGAAGTTGTAATTGAAAGTTACATATAAGATAGAGTGAATATTTATATACTCTATTTGTTAGAATAAAATAAATACAGAAAACTTATTTTACCTTTCACATATATTGCCATCAAACTTGTATTTTTTTAAATAAATAAATAAAAATAATTATTCTCACTAGTTTATATAATGAACATTAGTTTTATTGAACTAACTTCAAATAGGAATTTCTCTAGTCATCAAAATCAAGTTAAAAAATATATGTAATCATCACAAAAAATAATTAATTTCTAAAAGATAATATAATTAAATTATGATTTACTCAATCATTGAGTTATTTTTTATATTTAATAATAAAGTAAATAATTAAACCAATCACATGTCAAGAACAATATTTATACTAATACAAAGTTAAAATCTAACATAATTGTGAATAAAAGATAGCAATTTCATCATAAATGCACATTTTGGTTATCATTTTCTTTTATCATTAAATCTAGTTTGTTTTAAAACATGAGTAATTTCTATTTCTTTCTATTATGCTTATTTTAATTGTCATATTATTTTTCTAATAATGAGTTTTATTTTCTTTTTTAATGGTAAAGAAATTCACTCATTTATCTAAGTAAACATATCACTTAAAGATAATAATTTAATTTAAACTTGATGGATAATAACCAAAAAAAATTAATATTTTTTAGACTTGATAAATAACAAATAGAATATGTATATTGTTAAACTCAACCTGAAACCTGACTGAATTTAACTTGAAATATGTATTTATATTATATAAATATATTTGTATAATTTAGACTTTCTTAATACAATATAATATATCATATGTACATACTTTATTGACATAAAACACACACCACACGCGCGTGCGCGCGCACACACATATATATATGCAAATGATATTTATCATTTAATATACATATATATACTTTATATATATTAAATATTTTATTTTTTTATTAATTAATAAATAATAATAATAATTAAATAAATAATTTATAAACATCTAACTTCATTAGCCCATAAAAAAATAAAAACGAGAACCATTGCCATATCTTGTATGCCCCAGGGAATCTGTTTTAAATTTTTTTTTTGGTCTCACGTATTGATTAGTTTTCTCTCTCCGGCACCAATTTCAGCTGCCCTCTCTTCCTTCACATCTCCTATTTCTCTCCCTCTAGCAGCTCAATAATTTGAGTGAGAAGAGAAAACGGAAGTTATAGAGAGTTCAAGTCAGACCAGGCTACCCAAATCGTGCTGCACGGTGTGTTGTCGCGCGATTACTCGAATCATTCCTAAAAATTCTCTATATAAACCTTTCTAAGGTTATGCCGTATTAACTAAACTGACCACTGGTCTTATTTGATCTGCAGATTGTATTCAATGGATAGTCATGGTTTGCCAACTCTCTCCTCAAAACCCAAGATAAATAGTAAGTAAAGTTTGATTAGTGCTTATAGCTTCTCATTGGTGTATGCGTGTTTTGTTGATCCTGGATGTAGCTAGGTTTCATTTGCAACATCAGTGTGGGAAACCATGCTGGCTCTCAAAAAGTGACCGGTTTTCCTTCACTAATACCGAAATTCTCATAGTTTTTCCTGGATCAAGCCGTGCGTAGATCTTGTTGCAAGAGTTTTGGGGAATAATCTACCATCTCATGAATATTGTTCACCTCTTTTTAACTCCACATTTCATTTTCTCCTTGTACTTATTAGGAAAGAAGAGGAAAAGTGACGGGGAGCATGCTAAGGCTTTTAAGGTAAAGAACACCCCCCTCTCTCCCCCTTATTAATTAACGGAAACTCCGGCGAAAATTAATAGGAATTGCTGTGTTTTTTTTTTTTGTTTTTTTTTTTGTTTTTTTTTTTGTTTTTTTTTTTGTTTTTTTTTTTGTTTTTTTTTTTGTTTTTTTTTTTGTTTTTTTTTTTGTTTTTTTTTTTGTTTTTTTTTTTGTTTTTTTTTTTGTTTTTTTTAATATTTGTTTCGTTCTCGTTTTGCAGAAAATGAAAGGGCTGAAGCAAGACTCGAAGAATCTTGATAAAGTAACCGCACAGCTGAGCAACATAGTGGAAAACCAAGAAAATCTCATGGATAACTTATTGCATCAGCTGATGGTTCATCTCTCTCCCCTAGTTCGATCGTTTTACCCTTTCCCTTAAAGTAGTGTAATCCAAATTTTTTAGCATTTTTACCTTTTGATGTGATTTTAAATTAAGAATTCATCATGCACGCGTCTAAAACCTAATTAATTAATGATTGGTGTTTGGTTTTCTGTGTATGTGTGTATATATATATATATATTATTTGCAGCTTGGATCTGATGAACTCGAGCTGGAATCTGCTATCTCATGTCCAGGAGGTTCCAATTGGGATGTCTATATGTCGGAAACAAAAGAACCTGTAGACATCATCTCTCTTTTGAAATATCGCAGCAAGATGGTTGACAGACGAATTCAAATTTTGTACGAGATGATGTTCAAATGATAATTTTCATGTCAGTAGACGGTTGTACTGTTCTATTCTAAAACTCCCTAACTTTTGGACTTCATACTCCTAGTTTTTTGAATAGCTGTCCTATGAGTTTCACTGTTCGTCTACATATATTTAACAATCTCTCAATAATTCAGGAATTGATCAGGCATATTTCTTCTGCTTCATGAAGAGTTTAACAACGGTGGAAACTTGCTTGTGTCAGTTTTCAACATTTTCATACTCATAGTTTTTTTTTTTTGGACTTCATGCTCATAGTATTTTTTGTTTTTTTGAAAGATGAAAAATTCATTAATCAAACAGAAGGAAGAGAAAAATCTACCAAAGCTGAGAACTAAGCTATTGCAAAAGCCTCAATCCATCAAGGAGTTGAAGAAACTTCGTTGCAAGCCCAGGGATATATCTCGCACATCAAGAGCATTACATGCTTTCAACTGCATTGAGTGAACGGATAACACTTCACATCTGACATCCAAGCAAATCCGATTAACAATGGACTGGCTGCTATTAAAATAATTTTTTGTGTATTCTTCTATTTCTTTCAGCCTACACAATCTAAGAATTATATACTTAAAAGGACTTCTTTTGCAAATTATATAACTTTTGCACAGTACTGGAACTCCACCTGCCAATCTCCCCTTTGCCTTTGCTCATTTTACAGACGAAGAATACTATTCGTGGTAGGATTATATGACAAGAAAAGAACAAGTGAACTCCGCATTCTGGAGAACTGTTGCCAAAGAAACACTTGTCATCACTCAATGACTTTCACCATTTGAGTTGCCTTTGCCTTGCAGACAATCTATCATGAAGCACTGCAAATCCGCAAGCCATGAGATAAAGCCTAGTCCCACCCTAGCTAGGTCTTTTAAGCCTCGTAGCCTCCCATGTTCTTTTCACAGAAAAAGGTACCAGTGGAGGTGGGCACCAAATAACAGAGAATCAGATATACCACGGAACCGCATAAAACTGCTTGAAATATTTGGACAAGACTTCGAGATCCGGCAGGAGGCCACCCTCAATCAAACCCCTTAACCACTTCATACATACAACTTGGCTTGAATAGAAACACAGGGATCGTAAACAACCCCATGCCATATATATTTGTCAATAAGGACTCCGTTAGGATGCCACAAATTCCAACAAACGAAAGTGTTTCTTCCATTGTTAATGGAGCTGTAGATCAAAGTGTTGCACACACACGCAAATATATTTATAGTTTATCATAATAAAATTGTAGTTTAAAAATAATTAGCATGAGTTGGCAGCTTCTCATTCCAAAAACATACTAAACAAAAAATATTCTATAAAAAACTATAATTTACACTGTTTAAATCTATAAACTTAAAACAAACAGGTTTAATTCAACTATTCTTAAATTAAAACAAGATACTTAATTATTAAACCACTTTAAATTAATTAATCTTAATTTTTCTAATTGTTTAAAAATTAAGTTTTGTGAATTCTCATTCTACATAAATTTTATATTTATAATTTATTTCAAAAATTAGACGTGATAATAACTCATGATTTATTAACATTTACATAGAATTATAATTCATATGATCTAATATGTCATGTCACAAATCATAATAATCAAGCAAATAATAGGAAGAAGCAAACTTATTATTATTATTATTATAATTGTCATTACATTCATTTTAAAGAGACCATTACAAATATATATTTTTTTCCTATAAAAATATCACTCTTGAATAATATAAATTTATCACTTTTAAATTCCATCTTAAAACTATTTTTTGCTCCATAATAAGCCAGACAATAAGTTTCATAATGTTAACAACATATAATACATTATTGAAGAATAGAGGCTTTCTGAATGTTATATTCAGTAAGAACTTTCTAACACCTAATACCTTAAAAGTTGATGGGTTATTTATATATAGATTTTCTCCATCCACTTCTTTGCAAGTGAAAAACATCATCTTCTCAGCGTATATATATCTCGTAGCACTAGTATCAACCCATCACTGTTCAAGATTGTATAATCAGGTTGACTTTAAAAACATCAAACAAGTTTATTTTTAAAAATTCATTAACAAGGAAATCAATCTTATTGATATTGGCTTTAACAAGTATTTCTTTTCTTAGGTTACTTTGCTAATCCTTATTTTGTTCACTATGATTTGTTCAATTATCATTATTTTATTTATGAACTATATCATATATAAAAATAGTATTATATAAATAATATCTTCACTAAGTAAGTTCTCAACAAAGATTGAAAGAATCACAAACGATTTCAAATAAAACTCAATTTTCTTGAACAAAACTTACTAGATTGTATCTATTCACTACACTACACTGACTTTTTGTATATGCAAATAGTTATATACATGTGAACAATGTTGTATACATGAAGAAATTTGACCATATAACTTTGATATCATCCTTAGATTTAAAAATTTACTGACTATGAATCTTTTCATAATAACAATTTCAACCTTAAACGTTTTGTTAAAAGCTTTTTAAAGTGCCTTTGAATTCTTGATTGAATTATACACATCACATTGTGTATAGTTTAATCTATTCAAAATGTATTTTTTTAACACACTAAATTATTATAATTCCATACATCCAAAGCTACTATATAATGAAATTAAATTTATTATTTGTCAACTTTAACATTTTCCCTACAAGAACTTAACCAAGTTTGAGGTGGTCACATAAATCAACATTTTATGTCGCTACCTTTTAAAGTTTAATTTATTTAAATTTTTAAGTTTCTCACTACGCACCATAAAAGGTAATAATAGAATCTTCATTATCAAAGTAGTATTTGCTGAAGCAATATTGGTTAGAAAAACCAATTCTTAAGTAAAAAACATGATATAAATTATAAAAAACAATAGCCAATAATATTTATAAATAAATATTTTGGCTTAACAATAAGCAAGTAAAGGCATGCTAAACTAAAGATGTCATATGAAAAACTAGAGATTACACATGTTTAAATCTATAAACTCAAGAAAAAAAGATGCTTAAATAAATTATGTTTAAATTAAAACAAGAATGATATTTACTTGTTAAAACACTTTAAAGTAATGAATCTTAATTTTTTTTTTGTCAAGGATGAATAATTTATCCTTAAAAATTTATTATTCTTTATTTGTACAATTAGAATGTTGCAATATATCTTCTAGAATATCAACATAAATGTCAATTTATCCCTCTTTTATATGAGATTGATTGTTGTTATTGTTAGTTACCCTAATTTTTCATTTGATACACTTTACTTAGTGTTGACTTTCTTAGTGTTTTGTTAATTTCATTCCTACTAAAATCTTCTTTTGTGTTTTATCAATTGATTAGTAATGCTTCATCCATTTACTATTATGTAAAATTCATTTTTTTTTCTAAAAATATAGATCAAGTATCTATTAATTATCTTTAACTTTTTTCATATTATTCATTTCAAAAACATATACAAAAGAATTGACTTTATGAAAGAAAATTTGCTTGAAAAAGGAAAAAAAGATACAAATCTTAAAATCAAATATATATATATATATATATATATATGTAAAGACTTAATCAATAAAATAAAAATAAAGAAACACATTCAATAAGATTATATTTTCAATCAAGCAATAAAAGTATAAAATACTGAAATACATAAAAAATTCAAAATAATTTGATCAATATTTTTCTTGTATACATAATTCAATGGGAGAAAATGAAAGAAAAAAAGGCGGTCAAATAATGAAGGGTTATATATATTTATATTAAAAAAAAGAAAGGAGGTAGCTAGGTGTATATGTTATTAACAATAGTATATTATGTAATAATCTAAATTGCATAGTGGATCCATTATGCATAATGCATTATGGATTCCCTTATATGTCATTTTGGGTGGACGATTCAGAATGCTCTTTTTTTTGTTATCTTTATTATTTTTTTAATTTGGCCAAATTATTAGAGGAGAATGAAATTGAAAGATGGGAGACTAGAGTAAAAAATACAAAAAAATAGGTGGCTTTATAAAATTATAGATAGGGGATCAAAATTTTTATTATAGTTCATATACTTTTAAAATTATAGATATTGGATCCCTTTATTTTTCAAAATTAAAAGGCAAAATCAATTTTGATCCCAAAGTTTATTTTACTTAATTTTTTAGCCTTTGGTTTAAGAGATAAGAGATAAATTTTTTGAATATGATGCTAAAAATAAAATATTTGTTGACATCAATTCCAACCACAGAACAATGAAAATTGGTGTCAATTCCTTTTGAAATTGCCTAGAAAAACACGAGTTTATTTAAGATTTTTTTATTTTAGATTGATGTTGGATTTTGAGATTTTTTTTTTTTGTTTTCTAAGGCCATGAATGAGTTTATTAAGTTGCTTCAGATGTTTTGGATAAAAGACTAGTTGAAAATTCAGCTTTTAGGTCTAAAAAACTTTTGGCTCATTTTTCCAATCAACATATAGTGGTTGGAAACTGGACAATACAGATGAGGTGTTATCTAACCTTTTTTAAAACCATCTTATAAAAAAAAGTGTCCAATCATGTAGATCTTCTCTTACAGCCCCTTGTGCGGGCCCTTGCTAAATAGGTCAAGCTTGTTAGGTTAGTAGGGCCTATTCTTTTTCTTTTTTTTTAAAAAAAAAATATCTTTTAATTAATTCCTTTTTTATATGTATTTTTTCTAAATAATTTTTAAATTTATATGTAAAATAAATCTCCTTCTCTTTTTTATTTTATTTATCTAAATTTTTTTAAATAAAAATTATTTTTAATTATTTTGTATGATTTTTCTAATTCATTTATAATTTTTTTTAAGTTTTGTATAAATAAAATTTATTTAAAAATGAAAAATATTTATTTTTAGATAAATTTTTTAATATGTATAACCTTACATAATATTTTTTTTATCTTTTATTTTATTTTATCAATTTCAAGTATGTCTATGTTTATTATCATTTAATTAAACAAAAATCAATTTTATGTGCAAAGTTGTTAAATACAACCATGTCAAATATTCGAGTTATAAAGCTGAATATTTTGATATAAATCTGACTTTTAATTTTATAATTTTTATCATTGATTACTTTTATTTATTAATGGATATAGTTCTTAATTTATTTTATTGGATATATACATAATTTTTTTTTTAATTTTTATATAAA